CAACGTTGGCTCGGAAGACGTAGAGAAATCCGAGGTGCGCGATTCGAGGGTAAGCTTGGAACGGAGGAGGGAAGGTGTAGGATTACCAACTTTATACGTACCTCGGTTGCCTGTTGTTTGTTGGGTCCGCGAATAACATTGTAAGTAAGTGGAGTAAGTAGCCGAGATCGTGGGGTCATGCTGGCCGGGGCCCACGTGTTGTACCGTCTACGTATCAAACGGTAGAGCTACGTAAGAGCGCAGATATGTCAGGCCAGCAAAGCTAGACCGGTCCTCGCGATTCTACGTGATCAGCAAAATTCAAGAGAAATACGGCTCGTACTGCAATTTAAACGCGACGAGATTCCAAGTATTGAAGACTCCACGTGGAAGGAGATCATGCGACTCAAGCAGAAGATACCTCAAACACATGTTCGCTTTGGGTAGAAAGAGAGAGAGAGAGAGAGAGAGGACATTATAAAGAAGTCAAACTGCGCTGGTAGACATTAATTTTAGGTAGAGAGATGATATACTTAAGCTACAAGCTTGATGAACTACTACGTAACGAGTTTTCAAGCAATTGTGCGAAACTTAAGTCTGCAATTATGAGAGATGCATCTGACGTACAGAAAATATTGTATCTGCAAAATAATCAAAGTAAACCATGTATTATCAGCCTCGCACGATGGCACGATCTAATTGAGCAATATTTGCAAGACTCGTAACGATCTTGTTAATTCGAAGATTTGACCTTCGGAAAGGTACGGATAAGGTATAGGCGAGATAAATTCTGCAGCTTGTACGTCTTCCTGTATGATATCAGAGAGAAAACAGGGGCCGTAGCTCGTTCGAGAACCGTGGATTAATATCGAGTGTACCCTATAGTTTTTGAGCAAATATGCAAGATCCGTGTGCGCGGGGGGGAATAGTGACAAAGATAATATTTGTTGAGATTTACACGCGTGCCGTGTCGACGTTATTTTCGTATCCGTAATACCGCCCGTGTCTTCCATGATCGAACATACACGAGCCCGCGTGCGCACGCGAGAAAATGGCACGGTTATTCGCGCGCCACAAATGTATACGCTCCGCGAAAATTGCTGGAGAACGCAATGCATTTCCGAATAAAAATAAATTCCGGCGACTATTCCATCATTTCGGATTTTATGCCGATGGATGCGACATAAACGTAAACTGTACGCCTCGATGCAAATTTCGTGTATGCACCACTGAACATTCTCTGAAATGTTTCGATAAATACAACGTCAACCGGATTTCAAACAATATCCAAAACGTTCAATAATGTTAAAATAATAACGTTCAGATGTTCGATAAAATTTTACAAACTCACAGTATCAAATTCTCATAGTAGAGAAAATTAATAAAAAGTTTGAAACTTGGATGTGTCCACTTTGCACGTGTTCTTCGAACATGGTATAGAATTTTTGTACGAATATTGGAATTTGGAGTCACAGTTCGTTCTTTTAGCGGAATAGGATCCATACTCGTATCATATGGTCAATGTAGCTACCTAAACATCATAGTTTATGCTCGAACACGTTGCGTGCTAATAATTTAAGTTACATCATCGTACAGTTCTTCCAAAACATAGAAAATAGAATCAAACGACAAATTTGTTGGTTCACCTCCGTGTGTTTACTTTGGAAGAAACACGTAGCAAAAGTTCGTCTTCTTCTTCGTAGTTCGACTATTGCTTCGTCAATTTGCTAAATCTTAAATCTTAGATCTTAGATCTTTGATCAATCCTGAAATTTATTCAAAACACCGAAAGAAATTCAGAGACGTTAGCATAGCTGGAGCTACGAATTCGATCCACTTGACAAATCAAGTCCTGTCTACGACCTAGACCAACGATGTCGACCAGTCAACCTTCTTTCGGATTGTTAAAATGCGCGGGCACACTCCCGATTGTGTCGTGCGATCGGTGAATGGATTCTTCTGTCGTGGGCGAAACGGGATGATGAATCGCGCGCGCACCAACCCTCCCCCCTTGTCTTTTCGTCGAGCAGAAAAGGGAGTTCTCAGAAACGTGGCAGGATGTCCGGGGGGGGGTGTAACAAACTAGGAAAAAGTGTGCAGGGGATGGTATACGCGTGGTATGGTATCTGGGGACAAGAATGTAGGTGAGCCGATGTTAAGCCGTTGCGGAGTTGCAAGCTCGCGCACCCTCGAAAGTGCATTGAGACGGTCACGAACGACAAGGCTCGGCGTGTCCCCCGCGTGTATACGAATCCTCCTGTACGTTTACCATGGTAATCGTTCGACGATGGTAATTCACCTAGTAGGTCTGACCTAGTACAGCGCCGCTGGATACGCTCCAGAACGAAACCGAATCGATTCGCTCGGATTTACCAAGGGTTTGTTCAAAGGGCCGAGGAATTCATTAATTCCGATGGTCTGCTAGGTCGCATTCAGGTGTCACGATCCACAGGCATTCTTGTTCCTCTCTATCTCAGATCCTAGGCCGTGATATTCCTTTGAAAGTTCCAAGTGATTCCTGATTTTAAGGAATGTTTGCTCGTAAAGACGCGTTTGGCAGTGTAATAGACATGTCAATAGAGACGAGTCGAGAATCTCCGGGAAATTCGTAAGCACGAAGGGCGAGAGAAAAGATTCGAAGGTTTCTTTTTCGAAACGCTTTGCTGTTTCTCCTTGTAACGTATTTGCAAACATTGAGAGAGTGTTTGTAAATGTTTGTGAATTTTAAAATAATTTTCACAACTTTTGCAATTCGACGGGGAAGTGGGGAGGGAGCGTCGCTGCAACGCGTTTGGACAGAGGACAGAGGTGTTTAAAAAACGAATGCGTTACGAAACGCGGATACGAATAATACGTACGTGCGTTTGCTTTCGTTTCTTCGATAATATCACTTTCGTAAATATGTTACGAATTCGTTGTTGTTTCGATATCATCGTCGTTATTACGGATATGAAACTTCTTTATCTGAATTTTCCATAAACACGAAGGGAAAAGGGGACTAACTAAAGAAAATATTTCTCCCCGTGAAACCAAACCTTCGAGAAGTTACTTTGCCCTTGAAAAAAAAAAAATCAATATTTACGAATCGATGACCTTGAATGACACGTTCTTCTGAAATATCTGAATAATCCTGACCAAGTTAAGGTGCAGCCACGGGCAACCATGAACCGCGAGGGTTTGCGAGTAAACTATTCATTCTTCTTTCTCTGTTTCGAGCCGTCTATATCGCGTCTTAGCCCTGGCAAGGTGCGAGGATGATGAGAGACAGAGGACCAAGAAGAAACACATGTTTCGTATTAGATCTTTTCTACCTGTCGACCCGAGCCAAGGTGCATAGAAAGTGTTTAACGAAGAATACCACAGCGACGAGGATAACACCGGGAGAAGAGAAACACGTGTTCGTAAGGTCGTGAGGGCATTGTGCCCACGACGGAGAGACGTCTAGACAACGAAAGATTCTCTCTTCCTTCCGGAACATATTGGCAACACATGTTTCCTATTTCGGCTTGCACTTGGCTCTTGGCAAAAAGGTGCACAGCAAGGTGGTCATATAGCCCAGTCGTAAAATACAGGTGCCAACCTGTCATTTCCTAGTCTCTCTGAGATTTCTGTCCAGAAGAATTCGCACACGTGACCACTCTCGGCAACGAGAATTTCGAAACGTGACAGAATCGTTGCGTCTCAGGCTTCATCGTCACAGTGAAAGCTTTCTGCGGAGATTGTTCCGCAAAATGCTACACTGTTTGCTTCAACTGTTGAGTTATTCGGTTCAAAATTTTATTTGATCGGAGGGGGGAGGGCGGAGGAAGAAAAGAACGGTGAACCTGAAACGAGAATTTCTATTTATATAAAAACGGATTCACCGTTTATTGCTTTTTGTGAATTTCTGTGAAAATAATTTCATCCGTCCTCTATTTATATACCTAGTTTATTATTTCTCGCTTATTATTCTTGTCGATGTATAACAATAATCTCAGCAATTGATCTTGCCCTCGCAAGATGTCGACGATCTGGATCCGAATGGAAGTTACGAAATTCAGGACACGGTGGACGCAATCGGGGGAACGATAGTTACAGGTGTTTTACGGTGTCTGGTCAAGGGAACAGTACGACCACCAGCAATCGCCTTTATTTCCAAATTTTGCCACCCGCCGTTCTCGTTGTGTACAACCGTCCGCCACGGCCGTCACTCGAACACGCTTTTCCCCGACAAATCTCTCTGCCGTTCCTATCTCGTTCGCCCTTCGGTTTCTTTGCCCTCTGTAGCCAGTTTTACTCTCGTCTCGTTTCATCTTTTTACTCCGTCCCCCTTGTCTAGAACGAGGAACTCAGACAGAGAGAAGTTTCCACGTGCGTGAAACAGAGGGGTCTTTCGACTGACCCTGCTCCAAGGGTGGAGCTTAAAATAAGGGTGGTACCTCACGGCTTACCTACCCCATCGAGAAACAGCATCGAGGATGAGATGGAAGCGAAATGGAACAGCAGTAAGAGGACAGACACGTCGGCGGAGAGAATGAGAAAAGGGCCGTAACGCAACGCGCGAGGTATCCACGAACAACTACGCTAGTTGTAATTTAAATACAAAGGACATCGGTCGTTCTGCGTGTCCTCTCCGTCTCTTCTAAGATTCGTCTCTCTCGATTATTTCAATTTCTCAAACTTTCAGACAACATCTTGGTAGATTTACGTCACCCGTTTCTCACTTCTGGAAATCTTTACTTCCTCTGAAAGTAAACAAGTTCTTTATTTCTTCGTTTTCGCCTTGGTGTTGATCGCGGACGAAGTTACGTGCATATGTGTATAAATCTGTGTGTGCGTGCGTGTGTGCGTTTGTGTGTGTATGGAATCAAAGAGAAAATGTTGAGAGGAAATTCGATGAATTCGTGAAAAGTTATTCCATGTTATTCAGAACACGTGGTCAACGTGCGATGTGAATTTCCATGGTATCCCGTTTGATCGAGTTGCGCGTGTGCAGTCTGAAGATATGTGTGTGGACGTGCCAATCTAAAGATATGTGGAAGATGGCGCCCGCCGTTCAGAGTTATGGTCGTATTATTCTAGAAAGCGATCCTTATATTGGTAATTGGAAACGGGAACAGGCTGAGAAAGGTATCGAAGTTTTGTTTCGAAACACGTCACAGTTTGAAATCGCTGGCATCGATATTTGTTTTTAATCGAAATTGCAGTTTGACGTCTGTCGGGCAAAAGCCAGCCAGAGATTGTTGTGCTTCTCATTTGATAAGGATGTACAACGTGAAAGAAAATAATTTCAGTC